TTTCAGAAAACTGCTGAAAACGCTAGACTAGTATTTAAAGCTATCAGTCAGTCAATATTTTTAAAATATTTTTTTTTCTCTGCGGGTCGTCGGAGGTGTTGTGAGATTACCTGTAAACAGCAGTTTACAGCAAATCGGAAACTAAATGTAAATTTCGTCTGACATTTTAAGCGCACAAAAAAACCGGGGTGACGTTTAACAGTCACTTAACTGTATTCCTAATCATTTTACTACCTGTATCGATCATAGGTTATCGAATGCTTACATTTATCATTAAAAGCATGCAAAGACAAAATGCCTTAGAAATAAGCAGTCTTTTCAAATAAATCCACAAAATTGTTTTAATAAAAATATTAAGCTTCCTTCTGTAAGAACCAATTCATGCTCAATTTTTACGTTCTTATGCTTTGATTTATAAACAATTTGTTATGTTTTTTTTCCTCCTGTTAAGCCCAGTTCAGCTGAAAAAAAAAAAACAATATTCGCTATTCTGCTTTCCGGTGCAATTCTGGTGAAGTGTATTACTTCTCAGTTGGTTTCGCGTTACCAAAGCTTTCCTGTGAGGAGTGAACGTGAAATTTTACGATTTTTATCGCGCAGGCTTTAACAAAAATAATTACCCGGGAATAAAAAAAAAATACACACGTGTAACTAAGCGTCAATCCCTCGAAACATATTACAGCTACCGTTAAAAGACTGGATGAGGAAGTTCAATTTGAAGAGCGAAAGCGGAAAATACAGAACTGAATCTCTCAGCAGCGTCTCTGTAACACATTCCCGCAGTTCCAGTGAAGGAGTACGGACTGCGTTTGACAAGCGCGTCACTCATTAAAAAACATTTAAAACGCAGTTTTAAAAAGACCTTTAGAATTAACATTTGGTTTAAAACATTAAATCGTTGAGATGTCAATTTAATCACATTTCATCCGTTTTTCTCATGCCGTACTTGAGACTCCAGTTGCCCCTTTGGTCAATGTCATTGTATTTAAATCTAAACTGTGGAATAATTTCCGATCATGAAATAAAACGATCTTACTGTCGTTCCGCACTCTCTATTTCAGTGGCTACCTGCTGCAGGACACATTGACTTCAAACAAACGTTACAAATCGCGCCTCGCAGTTCATGACGAGTAGCGTATCCTTTTAATCTGTATTAAAGAAAAGCAAGACATTGGGGAAGCAGACGGCGATACTGATGAGTCGTCACGGCGAGAGACTGTTCCTAGAAAGAGAGGCTACAGTATTTTAATTAACAAAGTCGTATTTGTGTAACTTCAACACAATTTCCTTCTCTTTTCAGATTTGAAATTGACATCTTCGTGAATTCGCGTACGTTATGATACAGTAAATGCTTTATTATATCTGTCTGGGATACAGCTGTCAAACACAAACAGCTATTTTAAGGATAATGATTCACAGCTGCTCTCTGACTCGAAGAGTGCGTTTCACCGCGGTCAGTGAGTAAATACAGGCTGTAGCGAAATTACAAGTCAATTAACCGATTTTAAGACAATTCCGACACGCGGCTTAAACCTACGCGCACATAAATGCTGAAAATAACCTCGACAGCATGCAGACACTGGGAGTCATTTTTTTTGCACATTTCGGTACAGTTCGTGGATGGTGTTACACTCGGTCAGGGTGGGGAAACGCACGCACACACACACACATATATATATATACACAGTACATATGCAAACACACACACACACAACCTGCGCTCATGCATGACCGGCACACCGGACACGGGCTTTCCCTCCGTCGGTCTTTACCTACGAACACATCCAGCACACCCTGCACAGCAGAAACAGCACAAGGCGGCGGCCTGGCGGCTCCGCTCTCCCCCGGCCGCGGCACCTGTTCCCTGCGGCCCCGCCAGGACTACAACACCCAGGCGCCACCGCGCTCCGGCTGCCCGTCTCGCTCCCTGCGCTCTGCGCCAGTCCGCTTGAGGAAACCAGCTCGCTTTGGCCTTTTTTTTCTGCCTTCTCACTGTTGCCTGGTGTCA